GTACAGGCATAGAAGATGGTCTAAGCACGCCTATCACATTTGAGTCCATCGCCGACAAGGTAGATGACAACACGGGAGAGGCTGGCGGCGCTATAAAAACCACACTTGAGACCGCAATTGATTTCGTGATGAGTTTGGAGACCCGAGAAGCTGAGGCAAATGGTCTCCAACCAGATCCAGTTGCTGCATGGAAGGTGTCTATGGGAAATGTTCCGGATGTCTGAAAGGAAATCGCGGGACAGGAGCTGCTAACTGGACCTAGCTACAAATTCGTCGACACTGAAAAATTTTCAGAGTGGGCGGGCGCCGGTGAGGATCAAGAGTCCCGTCTTATGGTTGTCCATGAGCAACGTGCATTTAGGTGGGCTGAAAGGGCATCCAATACCCCGGCTCTACAAAACACGGATGCCATAGAACGCCATTGAAAATACATCCACCGGGCGTACCGAGACGAAATATTTAGTCTTGCCTCGTACCTTGAAAACATATCAACCGACGATATATTCAACCGACTTACGCAAGCGCTTGCCATCTCAGGACGTGAAGGAGACGGAAATATTGGGAGACGGATTAGCGCTACTTGTGTTAGCACACAACACGAATAGCTAGCATATGCTGCCTCCTTGGTCGTATACATGGTAGTCCTTCCATCCCGACGATTGATTATGCGAGGCGACGGCAGAGAAAATTAAGGGCAATGAGAGTCGTATTCCAAGGCGACAGCAACTTTTGGCGGTTTACCGAGGTTTATCGGTGGTACTCTAAAAGCAACCAAAGGTCTTTGGCTTTAAAATCCCTAGTTGCAGCAGAGGGATATCATTTTCTCAAGATATTCCCGGTACGCGTTTATTCATGTTTACTCAGCAATCAGAAGGGTAGAAATGCAATTATCGTTTGTCAATGCATTAATACAAAGTTACGCCGAGAGGAAGATACTGAATGTGTCAGAAGTCCCTGTAGTTAGCTACTCGAAGGTGTTAGATAGCAGCAGCTCCGTCGCTGCTTTCACTCGGGTAGGAGGTACTGCGCACCCTTTTGCAGCAACACGATAAGGGACATGCAAATTTGGGCCTAGTTTCATCCATGGAATTTGTTTCATTGTGAATTCGCTTTAACTGTGCGTGATTTAGATGATCCCGGTGTGTATTCATTGTTCCTTTTAGTTACACCCGAGATCTTTGTTACCATAGGGTGAGTTAAAAGCTTCCAGATGCTCATTATAGTACAAGGTTTCAATAAAATATAACGTGTATCTAAATACTACATCCTAACATAGTTGTCCCCTAGAAATTACAGGTTACTAGGTATATATTTATCATCATGTCCAGGAGGTCTTCCGACGAATCTGATGATCAAACCTTTTACACCGGCCCATCTGGCCTTGCTTCACCAGGGGCAACAGGAACTGATAATGAATCCTTTTATACCGCTCGATCTCGCCTTACTTCACCAGGGGCGACAGAAACCGATGATCAATCATTTTACACCGCCCCATCTCGCTTTGCTTCACCAGGGGCGCCAGGAACTCCAGGAACTCCAGGAACTCCGCCGCTGCCGGTAGCGCCGGGAGTTCCACCACCGCTAAGAACACCAGGACCACCACCGCTAAAAGCACCAGGAGCTCCACCACCTCTAAGAGTGCCAAGAGGGCCGGTGCCTCTGAGACCTCCACCACCGCCGCCGAGAGCGCCAGCACCGCCAGCACCGCCAGCACCGCCAGCACCGCCAGCACCAGCACCAAGAGGAGGAGGAGGAGGAGGAGGGCGAAACCTAAATAATAAGATAGATGACTTATCAGACAAAGCGAAAGCAGAGTCCAATCGAATTCGGAAATACTTCGATAGAGATGAGGACAATTTTCGATTCTTGGGCATGGTTGGTTTTGGGCAACACAGCGTCGCGTGCAAGGTCAAGTGGAGGACGCGATTCTACAAGTCCCACGAGTCACAGGTATTCATCGTTAAGCGTGCGATCATCAGCGATCATGGCAGGAGGCTAAAGAACGAAGCTACAATACTAAGAGTTAGTTACCCAAACAAGAAAGCCCCTAGTTCCTTGAAAGTCGGCAATCTAACATGGCCTTCTCAAAGATGCTTCGTGGAGCTAGGCATATGGTCCAACTATTTCATGCCAGCGGTGTTACAAATCCCATTGACCGTGCTCACAACCAGACAAATCAGGTGGAGTTTGTTCCGAATGGAAGTCTGTATGACTTCCTACACAGGAAACGGGGGAGGTTGGGCAAAGAACTGCCGAATCGAGTGCTCTTTGGGTTTTTCCTGTGCCGTAAGTATCGCAACCAAACCTTAGTTGGAGTTGGTGTTTTTATACCATTGAGACTGACGCTTCCTCTGGCGTAAAAAGTTATTCGAATCGTCATAGGTATGGCCTACCCACCTGGAGGGAGTAGCAGTACACCTCGAACCGAGTATTTTCCCAGGACAAGAGACATAGGGCGGTTGCATAAATCGATTGTTCACCCTAGTCTACACCTAAGAGATAGTAAGTGCCTCGAACTATTCCATGCGCACTAGACATAACCCTCGACACTGTTGGAGATAGGTGATAAGTGATTGAGAGTTAGATATCTCTTGGCATTGTCTGGCGACCAAATTATCTATCCTTTTCCATCAAGGTATATGAGACTGATTGCTAACGAACCGGCCTTAAACTATAGTCCTTCTTGGGGAGTTCGATGTACCTTATCAGAGTGTTCACGCCTTGGCGCCTATATTGCGATTGGTCGACTTCGAAGCCGCAGAGATATTCGAACGTGGGAGAGAGTAAGACTCTTTATTTTCAAAGGGAGAGATATCACAGTACTAATACAACTTATGCAGCCGAGATACTGGGGTTCGGAGAAATATCAGACGTATCGGACTGGTATGTGGATAATTATTAATGTACGACAGCCGTGATGCGATCAACTTACTAACACGCGTATTCTGTGACAGATCATGAGATGTATCATTGTTGGTGATACTAACATGGACCCTCCTGCGTGTAACGCAAGGCCTAATTCACGGGCGCGGGAGATTCAAACATATGCAAACATTCCCCGGGACAGATTTCCTAGGCTGCATCCGGATTTAAGAGACCTGGTGGTTCAATGTTGCGCTGTCGACTCTAAGGATAGACCTGAACTCAGGCACTTGTATTCGGTAGTCTACCATTACGTTGAAAGTCACAAAAATAGGCGTGAGACTGATAGAAGAAGGATGTATGCGGCTGTTTTAGAGCCATAATCTTAACGTCGGGATACATACTTCATTATATAAGAGGAATCAAAGAGTTATTCAAGGCAAACTACCTATGTAGGGATTGACCGAAAAAGTTCATCAAAAGTACTCCAAAGTGTTCAAGTTCTCCAAGATACTCGTTTCTCAATAATAAGCAATGCTCTTAGAAGCAGCCACAACACAGCAACCCAAGCTGCTAGGTCGACCATAAGACTTCGAAGCGTATGCACACGAAGCCAACGGCTAAGTTCAGCCACATTGTTCTCCTTGGCATCGCCCTGGAGCGCTCGAATACTGGGGAGGATGAATGGTACCCATATTTGATGTCCCAAGGCAAAAGAGAGACCTAGAAGCGTAAGTTATGGTTGTCATATTGTATTAGCGGTTACGGCTTGCAATGGTCGTTAGATTGAAATAATGATGAGGAGTAAAGATGATGTTGAGGAATGCAAGGGATATGGAAAATGGTTAAAACGCTCAATCCCATGTGAGTTATGTGGTATACCCCATTGAAAGTCAACCTTGCAAAGCAGTAGACAAAGCGTGTGAAATAGGGGAGGGATAATGATTTACCCTGCCTACGAGTGATAATACAGCTCATAGTAAGTATGATATATGGCGATGAATAAGCAATTATATTTATTGATCCTAGATAAGATCGCCCACCCATAATAATAGGCACATATACTCTAATCACTTGGACTCTGACAGGTTCGCGATCTCACCCGTCTCAAGCAGGTACGGAGTAGCGTATCCCAGAGTAACCAGAGCCTTTGAAGTGTCAAGACCATCGACCGCGACACTCCTTTGCGACCTTATACCTGGCTCATTTAATTAATATTCCAGCTACCCAGCTATTACAAAATTTCGAAGAGATGTCATCGTTCTCTAGCAGTTGTAAGTACGATCGCTGTAGTTAAACATACTATCGGTATGCATTTGCCAGTGTTGAAGCCCATGAATAGATGTATGCCAATGCCCTGTAATTATAGGGCGTTTAGCGGTCAAGGTATGCTAAAATAATCAGGGGCAGATATGTATCAATCGGGGCTTTCTTTGATTAAATGCATATTGCTGCCATGTGTTCACACATATAGGGGTACAGTGCGCCTGGATTCTTAGGTCTCACGGTATTGCTATACTTGTATTGGGTGGGCGCTGTAAGTTACGGCGGAAGGTCGCCATGATTTAGGGAGGATAGTGAGTGTTCAGTGCAGGGGTGGCCGGAGCGCATACAGTGTCAGTCAGCGCTGGCTTTTACTGTGCAAAAAGTGCCCGGGGAAGTGCCGAAATTTTTGGTCGTGACTTTCAAATGATAGCTGGTTCAAGACCAGACAGAGAGAGTATCAATGATTTCAAATTGTGTCTTGTTTATGGTGGATTACAATAGGAATGAGAAGTAAGCCTCATGGAAGGGAAGACTCATTTCATATTCCTCATTGATGTGGGAACAAAAAAGGGGTTGGAAAGGGGCTATGACTAATAAAAAATATCATACATTGTGCGTGTATTGTATTTATGACGATCAAGAGTATGTATAGCATAACGTGATGGGATAATAAATTATTGTTAAAGGGTACGACACTTGGTCATGAAGGAAAGCATAGATGTGATGCTGAGGGTTGTTATGGTGACGTAAATGATGGCAACGCGAAATAAAAATGCCGAAAAGGAGGAATAAAATAATTCGAAAAACAGTTTGCCCCCGACTCGGCGTGAACCAGAGACGTTGGCATTATGAAATTCCAGAAAAATATGTGATGCACCCACCGGGATTTGCACCCGGGTCCTTCCCTAACCATGTAGACCATATGGCCGATGGGAGGGGAATGAGCTAGACTTCTGCTCCATAGGTGCCTTGTTGCTGTTAGAAACTTCGCCTTTAGAGGGTATTATAAGGAAATGTTTGGCGACAATGCTGCGACAATGCTGGCGACATAAGATGGAATAATCACAAAGCCTTACCCACTTAGTGACCTGAACGCTTACGCCTTCCCAGGTTATTCACATATACCTGCTGATTCAGGCTAAGTGTATCGGACTTGCCTTATTTACCAGGTGATACCTCAGGTAATTAGTTCACCACATTGAAAGCTAGAAGCTGCGTCATAAGCATAGCATTCACTACATGATTTTCGTGGTTGGACTCCTTTCCTCTGCAAACATTCATCCTATTTCACTTTTGTGTGTCCCCTGACTGAGTCATGGAACTATGAGTAAGGTATTATACATTGTATTTATACGGTGTTGGCTGCCCCCTTTAACCCCCAGGAATCACACATATATGCATTTGACTTTGGGATGTAAGTATATGAATAAGTGGTGTCTACATTCACTTGATGCATTCGAAACTCAAGAACAATATTTAACTGGCTCAGCTTTGAGCACAGTACTAAAGTAAAACCCACATTCCACATCTCCATCATACTTTACCACTACACTGTTCATCCACCTTAATCCTCGATGTCCCGACCATCAATAAACATGGCCAGAAGCGAAGCATCATCATCGAAAGCGGAGAAAGCCATAGCAGCATCAACGACACCTTCACGGCTTCACTTTTGGATCACGGACACCCGGGCCAAGCATCTATCCATTGGAGAGAAAACCATCGCCATAGAGGTTAACTCCAGCGACGTGCCCCCCGCTACCAGCTCCGTCTCGCTGAAGCTATTCAAATTGACCCCTGAAACTCCTTACCGATCCCAATACCTAGTTGCGTCGCCCCAGTCTCTCTCTGGAGATGTACTTAAATTCTGGGGTGGCCGCCGGTCTATCAAGTTCAATCTAGAACTCCTTGATTTCGGAAACTTCCGCATTCAAATAGATGTTCTGGACAGACGAGGAGGACCTGGAAGCGGTACTATCCTGGCGACGATGTTTACCGGAAATATTCGTGTCAGTTCCGAATCTGAGATGGCAGATATAGCGAAACAGTGGGAGGAGACTGGAAGCCCGTTCTTATGAGCATGGTACGGCTGGTTATTTTCGGAGAGATCTTGGTATGATATTTCTAGCTTGGGAATGACAAGGATGGTCATGAGAACCTCGGGTTTGCTAGATGTAGGTACGAATAGCTCAGACAAAATCCGAATACTAGTAGCATTGATACGGCGCCAACTTGACAACTAGAACCTGCTATATAGGTCTCTACTCCTTTACAATTATAATTGTTATGCGTATGTGAAAGCCAGTCTTCTCGGATCCGTTATTTGTCAGGTGTTCTCGGAACCGAAGTGGTCGGCCGCTGCCTAACGTCGGATCCGATCTTGGCATGCCGATCGCACCCGATCATCGTTCTGGTTCCGCCTCCGATAGCGTTACAAGATTTGCAAGATCTACAATGTGACTTTGACTCACCTGCAACTTGTTTTAGGCAGCATAGGGTTGGGATTAATAAATAGCATCTCTGGTTTTCTAGATTTTAAAGTAAAAGTCGTCTTTATAACACTATCCAAGACATTATAGCAATCGAGATACATACCATAGTACTCAACGTAAATATGGTCTACGTCCCGATCGCCAGGCCAAATGGTGCCACCCGCCTCAATGCCTACCTTCTGGTGGACCTCACTGATGAACAACTTAACACGTTCAAGAAGCAGTTTGAGTATGGCACGATGGCGACCTTCGCTACAATGCTGGAACTCATCATCAAAAGGGCACCAGCAGACTACTTAAACAAACCGCATGCATACATCCGCACGAAGGAGAATGAGGCCGGGCGCGACGACCCATTTGTCCTCATCGACGAGCAAGTCGTAAGCAAGAACGCAATTTGGTACGTCGAGCAGTTCGCCGACGAAACCGACGTCGAAGACGAGCTTGCAGAGTCAACATCCGTGCTCTGGCAAATCCTTATCGAGACAGAGCATCTACCAATCTGTTACATCAACTACGAGGTCGGCAACATGGACATCCGGGAGGATCTCAGTAATACGGGGGTGGATTACCTGGTACCGGAGAACTATGAGCAACCTAATGTGGCGACCAGCGCTTTGGACATGGCTGATTTCCGGCGGCAACAGAACGCCGATGTGATCGCGGAACCTGGTGAATACGAAATCAGCACCGACCCAAAGCTTCTCGACTCGTTTGCTCCCAGACCAGAGAGCGTGGCTCGGCTTAAGGGGGATGTTGCAAAAAAGGCGGGCGTGCTGAATGGATGGACTTTCTATGAGAACAAGGTCTTGGAACGAGTGTCGGATGGAGAGTATCCTGAAGGAACTATCACTCTGCAGCATCTTTATTATGATCCGGATTTCCCCTGGCCGGCGTACGAATGGCCGGATGAATCGAGTACTGCTATAGTGGGCCCCTCCACGGGTGCCGTCTAGGCTTGAGCATCGAAGACCATATTGATGCAAATTCAGAGAGCACGCTGTTAGTATTATTAATTTTTGGACCTGTACATCTGGCAACAAGCTTAAATTGGTACACCAGCTAAGTTGCCAGTAAACTGAAGAGCGCAGTTCGGTTCCTGATCATATTCTTTTCTTCACGTTTGCCAAAATGTGCCTTCGATTTGCCTCTGTACAGAAAAATCTTTTTTACTTAAAGTAGATATCTTACTCCTTGTTAGATAGTTACATGTACATCACTGGATGTATCCGTTGCCACCCGTGAAGGGCAAGTCCCTAATCTCTTGGGAACAAAGGAAGATCTAAGGAGACAAAGGAACCTATCTGTATGAATAGCTGGATCTTAACTCTAGGATAGCTTAGAGGTCCTTCGCGGAACAACGTTTGGTTTTATCCTACCTATAGTATGAACCATTGTATATGTGCATCATGACACTCCTTTTTACTAACTTTCAGAAAGTCTCTTGAGTTACACTCACCACCGCTTTGCTTAGACTCCTTAGAGCTGTACGTATTGACACATCCTAATATACACCACTATGGGAGGCCTTGAAGTAATGGCAAAGTACCTAACATACTTGTGTACCTACCTACCTAGGTAGGTAGGTAAGGTAGTCAACATTATATGCCTCACTTGGCTCCTTCTATCTCCAATAATCTCGCAGTCTGGTTATTAAAGATAACTTGAATTAATACATTCCTATGCCCCAAACGGGGTAAATTATTTACATTCGGGTTCTTAGATAAATCATGCAATTTAATGTTAGTAATAGAGATAGATTTGGCAATGCAACCGTGAAATGCAGCTAGACCTCCCCCCTAAATTTTAGATCAGCCAATCACATTGAAGGAAATGATAAACTGTTGGACGGTCTCAGGCACCTCTAAAATACCTTGGAGTTGCTAGTTCTAGCGCTCTAAGTCCCATAAAATGCCCTCTAATTGACTAAGAGTAAGTCATGATTGGCTGTGATCTTATTAGAATTATGGGTTAAACTTCTTGGCAGTACCTCCGAGGCATTCCAGTGGCGCCTGAGTCCATCTAACAGTCTACCTTCTGATACCCACTACATCTATTTCGATTTGTTTGTGGATGATGAGATGACATGCAACGTCATTTTCGTCACGATGTGTCTTAGCTGTAACGTTCGGAAAATCTAGATCGTTGCCCAGGTACCTATGCAATGAAAGGGGGAAAGCTCTGCACAAAGACGCTCGCTGGGGATACTCTCGTCTTCGGTAAAGGTATAGGCCATCGAATTATCTACCCTATCTAAGGATCTTGACACATTCACTAGGCATTATGCATTGTGACATTGAAATTTAAATGAGAGGTATGGTAACAACTCCTCATATTTCTCGTACTGACTACCTAGTCATTTGGTCCCTCCTGAAAGAGTCTCTCGAAACGGGTTTGGTATTTCATGTCGCGTAGAAATGGAATTAGTTGTCAAATGCTCAGGAAAAGGTGTATGAACTTATAGATTCCTTGAAGATCTCCGATTAAAGTTATCCGAGTTGATTGCATTTCTGGGTTGCCCTATCCAAAAAGAAACTCATTCAAAATACGTATGTCGAAACTAAGCCGCCCATGATAGACCCTCCAGCTAGCCAAAATCCATATCGAAACCACCACCAGCAGCTAAGCGGACTTCTTAGGTCCACTTTCAAAATCATGGTCCCTAGAGAAAGGAGGCATCCTCCAATCGCAACCACGTAAAACTGAGCCCTCGCGGCACAGAATTGACTATACAAGATAAGAAGAAGGACGGTACAACTAAGCGAAACCCAAAGGAATGGCTTCGTCCAGCCTTGGAATAAGACAGCAGTACTCTTCAGTCCAATCTTTTCGTCATCAGCGATGTCCTGAAAAGCATAAATAGTGTCATAGATGACTGTCCAGAGTGAAGATGCCAGAAATAGACAAGTTGTTGGGGCCAGTGTTTCAGCATTCAAGTCGGCTCCCACCGCGGCAGTTCCCACGTAGACACCCCAAGCCAGGCACAATCCTAGGACAAACTGCGCTAGGTGGGTATGTCGTTTTGACCAAGGATAGTATATGTTTGCAATGATTCCCGGTATCATTACCCACGTCGCTGTCGCAGGCAGCGCAAGCAAGATGATGCCAACGCCCAGACATTGAGAAAGAGTGAAGATGAGTGCTCCTTTAGGTGAGATAGCACCTCTCACAATAGGGCGGTTACGCGTACGTGCAACTAGCCTATCGATTGGCGCGTCAATAAGGTCGTTCCAACCGTGGATAGCATTCGAGAGGAAGAAACTGCCAATTGTGACGAGAATTCCGACAGGGGCGACGTTGGCTGGGGCTACCCTTTGAAGTATAGCTCCATGCACGACACCGAAGAGATGAGGGAATAGCACAAGGAAGACACCAGCTGGAGGGCTTAACCGCGCAAGTTGGATATAGGGAATCCAAGAAGCCGGCAAGTGGCCAACCCATCTACCTGTGTGGCGGCCGCCGTATTGTTGTTCAAG